AGTTTAATAATTTTTTATTTGAGTGAATTATACTTCTATTAATTTTAAAAAGTAATATATACATATATGTTTTAAATTCTTAATTCGTTAATATTTAGGAAATATTTTCCAATACATTAGTTTTTCTTTATAATGCTAAGCCACCCTACTCCCTTTCAAATTGGAGGCAAATAAGAATATTCTGCTAATCAAGAATTGTGAAGACACATTCACTTAGAGATGATATTTGAGAGAACAGCAATGGGATCTTCAACATTTTACTGATTTTCATTAAACAATATGCTTCAATAATGGAGCAGCTAATTAAAAAATTCTTGCTGAGATTGCTCTCTCTATTTTTTCTACTTCTGTGACTTTAAGTTATATGTTTCAAGTTTTGACACTCTGTCAATAGCCTTTTTGAATGATTGACATTATGATATTATTTCTGCTATATAAGTTAAAATTTTATCTTTTACTAACTGTATCCCATTATTTCTAGCAATTCTCTTTGCATTACTGTAAAAATTACTCATTCATATTCTAAAAGTGTTTATGGTCTAATGCAAAGTAGGAAATGCTTGCAACCTTTTAAGATTAATTTGCCAATAACATGATAGTTTTGAATTACGGAGTTGCACCCTATTTATGAAGAGAACTATGGTAATCCACAGAGCAAACGACTAAAAAGTACATTAATTCAGAAAATGCTATTTTATCAGGCTAGAATTGGAAATAGCTATTAACTTTTTAACTTTAGGGAATATTATTCATTTATTTCTCAATTCATTTATAAATATTACCTACTATCTGGCAGGTTCTGTTCCAGACACTGATAACCAGTGTTCCAGACAAAGTTCCCTACTGTCATGAAGCTTACATTCTAGAGGAGGAGAAAGAAAGCAATTTAAAGCAGTGCTAAGTGTTACGAAGAAAACAAAATAGGATATTGTGGAAGAGGATGACCAGGATGACAAGACAGAGTGGTCAGGGGAGCCTTCTCTAAGATGACATTTGAGCAGAGACCTGAACATTGAGATAGAACCAGTCATTCAAAGAGCAGGTAAAAGAATTTTCTAGGTAAAAGGAAGGCATATTCTAAATAATAGAAAGCAGGTCAGTGTGGTTGGCAGGGGAAAAGTGGTACATCATGTGATTAGGGAGGTAAATCGGGCCGTGTTCATGTAGGGCCTTGTAAATCAAAATAAGGAGTTTAGATTTCATTCTAAGTGTAAGTAGGAGTCATAGGGAGGTTTTAGTGAGGGAGTGATATAATCTGATTTATGCTTTAACAATATCATTCTAGTTGCCACGTAGAGAATGGATTGTAGTGGGGAAAAATAGAAGCAATGAAAAGAAGTCAGGAGTCTAGGGGAGACATCATGCGATCTGGGCAAGGGTGCCAGTGATGAAGAATGAGAGAAGTGGATGGATCCAGAATAACACTTAAACCTGAAAGGACTGAATTTTAACCTCTACTTTAAATAACTATTCTTTATGTTTTATGTCTTTGTTAGTTCTTTTGTGGGGGGCTTATTTATTTTTCTTTTATTTAGAGTCACAGACACTGAGATCTGGAAGGGACATTAAAGGTATCTCTTCTAATTCCCTACTCAGAGAGATGGTCTGTAGGCAGTTTTTTTTTTTTTTTTTTGGCAGCTGGCTGGGAAGGGGG